TTAGCTATAATGTAATTATCTTAATCTTCACTATCGTTACTTTTTGCCCAGCGAAGCGGGTCCTTGCAGCTAGATTCTAGATTACTTAGAAAAACAGTCTTTTATATATATATAAAAAAAAAACTATATTACATACAAATAAAAACCCAGCAAAGCGGGTCCTTGCAGCTAGTTGAATAATAAATACCAATGTTTGGTTTTGTTAACTGTACACATACTTTGCTTTTTGTCCAGTACATCAATTGGCAAAACTTATGGTTTGGATATAACAAACTACCTCGATATTTCATGAACGTAAACGTCTTCTTTGGTGCAGCATCTCAAGGTTTTGCTAAAATATTTTTCAGTTTTCACAGATATTATGCAGCTAAATATATTAGCGTTGGAGGTGTTAACGTTTAAAAATTATTTTTACTTACACCTTCTATCAATTTTTATAATTTTCCTATTTATTAACGCTTTACGTTTTTATTTATGTTAATATATTGATAATAACAAGAATACTGTGAAAACTAAAGAATTTTCCGGCCGTTATATAAAAGTCGGGAGTAATTTCTGTTTGTTCGGTGTTAGTATGTGTGTGGCACGTTTCGTTCACCCTCTTTGAAGCTTAATAACCCCTGTGTTTTTTGTCGAAAATTTCTCAAATTTCGCGAGTAGGTTTGTTTATTAGTGGGATTGATGCAATTAAATTTAAATGGTTTAAACTCGCGCTTTTGAGAAAATAAAGGTGGTCGTGTGTTATATCTCGAGTAGGGTCAAACTTAAATGACGATTATATTGATTATTAGCATTTAAAACTTTCTATAAAACCCACCCCTACCTTCAAAATTAACCTTTTAGCCATTTTATAATAGTTAAAAATAGAAAACTTCTTTTTACTAACATATCATAACAGTTCGTGCTATCAAATATTGCTGGAAAAGTTAAGCAACTCGTTGCTGAAATTTCTAACCTTATCACTTTCTCCGCGGGGAAAAATTTCCGAAAACCCTTTTTAGTGTGCATTCGTATGACGTACCCAAGTGTTTCTCAACCTGTAACGAATCGTCGCCCCGTTCAGTAAAGCCGTTACGTAGTATTGCCCCCTTCACTACAAAATACCGATGCCGAGGGCAGAGACTAACTCCAAATTCGTACTGCGTTGAATAGACTAGTGACTAGTATAATGTTATTTGTTTAATTATTGTACGATGTAACGAATAAAATATCTAATTATTCTTAATACAATGTTTTACTATATCGCCCAGAAAATTGTTTTTCGCCCCCCAAAATATAAATTGTTACTAATCGCCCCCTGAATATGGAAAAACGCCCATATGGGGGCGATATCGCCCCCGTTGAGAAACACTGACGTACCCTAAGTGTGTACCAAATTTCAGCTTTCAATTCCTAGCCGTTTCAGCTCTGCGCTTATTAGAGAGGTTGCGGCCGAAGTTTTCATCTCTCAAACGTGAACGTCGAACTCGAGTGCCGCAATCTTGTAAGCCGCGCTCGACGTTCGACGTTCACGTTTGACAGATGAAAACTTCGGCCGCAACCTCTTTGTTATTATTATTATTATTATTATTATTAATCATTTCGATTATATTATAAGATATATTGCGTATAATAGTTAAGTACAGCACAAAAACATAACAAATGAACACAGAAAATAACAATAAAGGGTTAAAGTCTATTACAATAATGGATGTCCATCAAATTTCCATCAAACTGTCGCTGAGGGAAGTCTTGAACTATACGTTTAAAGACTTTTTAAAATTTAAATATATTTAATACGAAATCATTAAACTTTTATCAATATAAATAAATGATTTAAAGAAATCACAGCATAAAATAATGTTGGATAATTATAAGATATAAACGAAGATAAATATATATTTTAGATAACTACAGAGTAGAATTTATATAAATCATTTTTACTTATAATTACTACAGTTATATAAAGTATTTATACGAGAGATATCACTTGCTCAACCCTGGTTTACTGCTGACATCAATGAGGCTCACACCCTGTTTTAATGTTTCCATAATTTTGCTGCGCCCGTCCATTGAGAAGTATCTTTCTCCATATAGCATAACGGAATTATAATCAAATTCATTTAATATTCTAATTTGATTTGGCGGTAACTTAAGGAAATTCCATCTCTTATCTGCAAATGAATTAGAATACATTAAATACAAGTATTAATTGATATATATTGCAAATAATTGTTGAAATTGAAATTTCGTTACTTGGTTCTATATTTTCCCAAAATACTTTTATGTATACATCTCTGTCGGGTCGATTCTGCTCGTGGTAGAAGCCAAAAACGCGATTCAATTCATTTTCTATGATTCCATAGTTCCAGCAACCTTTTGCCAGTGATAACATTTGTTCTTTATTAATTCGACCGATATGTGAAAAACAGCTAAAAGTACACGAATTAATTATACATATTTGAAGGTTTTTTGTATTACTTACCCCTGACCTTTAAAAATTCTTACGTAATCTTTTTCATTTGGTTCTAACAAATCGAACACAAGTTTTCCGTTCGAAATACTTTTTGGTTTTCTTTGGAAAAACAAATGATTTTCAAATGTTACCGCTCGAAATGAACATAATGCACTGTATTATGAATATAACACTATGTACACAGAAGCACTTTTGTTTACATAAATAAAATAAACGATTATATTAAATAAATGCAGAATAAACATTGAGATGTTTTTCCCGGCTGTTATGTGGAACAGAGAAAATGTATAGCGATCTTTCTATTAATAATCCCTTAACATTTTCATATTTTTGGATTCACCAGGACTTGAAACGTCGTGAAACAAAAACAAGGCTGGTGAAGTCTATCTGATAGCACGCTTCACAAAAGCGAATCAAATGTTTTTTTATATAAATTTATTATAAAATTTAATTTAATAAAACATGCAAACCGGGTAGATTTTACTACAGCTTACAGTGATCGTTAACGAAAATGTTCAGTTCCTTTTTGTATATGCGTGTGGACATGCTTAATGAACAGATTGAACGGAATATAACACAGGAGACTTCAAAGCCTTATGTAATATATGTTGAAGATTTAAATAAACGAAATGGAATCGTTTAGGTGCCGAGGTGGTGAGACGAAAAGAGGAGGGCGTGGAAAAAACGGAGCTAGAGTAGCTAGAGGGAAGCAGCTGGATATAGAAGTGTTTAGTGATATTAATAAAGAATTATTCATATTATATTATCTGGTCAGTTGAGTCGTTTATAATACACCTAACGTTGAGAACTTCTAGCTAATCGAGTTTAGGCTTAAGTTATAAGCGTAATTTTCAGTTTGAATCGAATGGTTCGACGGAACATAAGATAACAAATGTCATTGCCGAAGCGCGTGGAAATCGCACAAACAGACAAAACTCCTAACATAAGTACTTTATTACTACCGTGAATCGTGCTTAAAAGAATGTTTTCTGTATTTGTGAGAGTTACAGTGTGTATGTGTGGAGGACACGAATGTGTTTATCCACTTTAAAAAATAACTCCCGTGTATTGACACTATTTTTTCACTTTAAAAGTCAAGAGTTTGGTGAGATAGAAAGAGTTAAGAAAACAAAATACCACTTCGTATACAAAACTCTATTTTCGTTAATTGATAATTAATAATATGAATTTAATTGAACTGCAGGTAAATAGCACGTGTCCAGTGAAAATGTCACATAGGTTTCATAAAATATAAAGATAGTCGAAATTATATTTAAAGTGGCCCAATTAATAGTATGTCGCTCAGATGTAGGAGCCTAGAGCCCTACAAATATGTCAATCTGCTACTGTTAGCTCAATCTCGCAATCCCAAAAACCAGCCGTATTTTATAAGAGAAAAAGGGTCAGTCCGTAGGTAAGGATACACCCAAAAAACCTACTAATATACTAATTATATTAATTACTAGTTATTTTTTTCCGATAACCGTCAAGCATAAATTTCCTTTTTAACTCATTTATATGTTTATTTATATTAGTAGTTGGAAAATAAAATAAACGATAAAAATATGAAACATTTAAAAAAAGTCCCTGTTATTTAGTTTTCCTTACATTAAAGGTTTATATGAAGAAAATTGATAAATAAATGCGCAAAATTAATATTAAATTAGCACCTAAATATGAAAAATTGCAATCTAGATTAAAAGCGAAATAATTGAGGGTAACCCTTCCTTTCCAAACATACTCATTCTAACTACGAATAGTTTACTTAACGGCCGAATTCGTCATTTTGTTGTCATTTTAACAGCAACTTTAACTGTCAACAAACGATCTCGTGATATATTTTCCCACCACGAAGGTATAAAAGCCAATTATCCTTCTCCCTCAGGGGAGTCGTTAAACGTTCGGCAGAGTAAACTGAGTGTCGAAATTGAAAGTGGATCTTCTCCGTCACCGGACTGTACTACCCTTAAAAGCCGTAAAACTTCTGCCACGAGTGAGATTAGAATTAAAGGGATATCCCTTGAGAATTCCCCAAGAAGTAAGAAACTACAGTATTATTGTAAACTCTCTCTCTCCTCCGCGAATTAGAAGGATAGTGTATGAATAAACTTGTAACTTTTATTTTCGTTAGTTGATTCAATTAAATTCTTATAAATGGAGTCTTTAGTCGACTGTGTCAACTTTTTATCGTCGACCCTCTCTGACTCTCCTCCACTCGCGTAAAGCGTAACAGAACGTTACGCCATCCTTGATAATAAAATAGGTCACCGACCTGTTGCCAGAAAGGAAGAGCACCTACGACTTCCGATCTCCCCGGCGGCTCCCAAACCGCATTGCAGTAGTTGAAATAGTAGCGAAATAAAATATTTTACGTAAAGCCGAGAAAAATGTTATTTCTGTAGGGTATGTAAACCTAATTTGTAAATTATAAGTAGATTAAAGTCTACTTGTTCGTGCTGCTTTAAGTCATGTCTATGCAAAAGCAAGATTCACGGTTGGAGGTGTATATTGTAATTTGGAACTTGCTTCTCAGGTAATGTACCTTTAATATGTTTGTGGATATAGTTGGTGTACCTATGTATTAATTACCTGTCTCTAAACTAAATGTATGTAAATTTTATATCGTTGGTGAAACCTCCTTTGATTTTATTGTCGAAAAAAGTGCGCCGTAGTGTGTTCTAAATCTAATCGATAAAAGTAGTGTAACAGTAATACTTAAAGTAAGTTTTATAGATCTAAAGATTATAATGTTAAATTTAATTTTTTTTTTAAAAATTTATAAAAAATATTTATTTGGGCAGGTATAGGAAACTGCATTTCTTTTAAATAAGTTTAAGCCTTCAAGCCTGTAGGAAATCTAATGGTAAGTTTTTCAAAAAATGAAATTATATATTCAGTTGTACTCCTGTATAGATTGTCTTCCTGTTAGATTATATATTTATTTATTTTTTAAATTTTTTGTATATTCTTTTTAATGTTTAGTTGATTGATGAAAGGCAGTGTGAGCTCGAAACGTGTAGTAATACTCGTATCAACTGAATAAAGATGAGAAAACTCCAAGCGTTTAAATAGTAGCACAAATTTTGTGTTTCAGCGCCCAAAAAAAGAAGTAATCATTTATTATATGTAATATTACAAATCTCACATAGCATAAATTTTTAAAATAATTAATTGTCTAATAATTTAATATAAATGTTTTTGAAAAATAAATGATTAGTGATTTATATACAGTCGACCCCCCCCCTATAACGTACGTTCCTATAACGACAATTCCTATAACGTAGCGAAAAAATTGTAGAAACTTTCGTATAACGTACCTCTTATAACGTCGTTTCGCGAGAAGATTGATAGAGTCTGGACCAATAGTGGATGAGCAGCCGAACTACTTTCCTCCGACCCTGCGCCACGCTACGGAGCGGCTAAATTGAGTTTGCTATCGTCTGTTTAGTATTATATATAAATTATATATAAATTAGGTACTGTACATATAATTATATATTAATTATATATAAATTAGGTACTGTATATATAATTATATATTAACTTAATTTATTGTAACTTTATTATAATTATATATATGCTTTCTGCCGCCTGGCAACACGCTACGGAGATTTTAGGCTAGTAAGTTGAGTTTATTATCGTCTGTACAGTATGTAAATTAGGTACCGTAAGTCTAATACAGCACTAATTTTATACATTTCTTGTGAAAGAAACACTTCTTATTCAACGGCCATAAAAATTATTTATATTAATGATGTCTCCAAAGGTCAAGTTATTTTTCTGCCAAAAATTCGTTATCAGAAATTGCGGCCGTCGTTTAGTGTGCTGTTCCGCGATGAAAACCAGCTTTAAGCAACGGCGTAGTCGAACGGTACACACTCGGTAAGTAATCCTATAATTTTTTGTTTATAGCATAGTTTATACAGATTATTCCCAAAAAATTATACGTATTTTGGAAATGTTGAGTGGAATTAGTCTAGAATCGGTTAATTTTATAGAAGAAAACCTTTCAAACAGCCTTAGTCCGTAAAGTTCCCACCTATCGGGCTGCGATTGGCTCATGTATTTAATCGTTCCTACAACGTAATTTTCGGTTAGCGTGGAACGTATCTAAGCGTTATAGGGGGGTCTACTGTATTACATTCCAAAATATTTATTTAGAGTGAAGTTTTAATGAGATATTATTCCTAGTAAATTCTATTGAAGTAAAATATTATTGGATATTTCAGGTTTAATTTTACGTTAAAAATATCGGCAAAAATGGAAATTTTTTACAACTGGAATTACAGACGGCACCACTGGGATTATTCAAATTTGAAAAATGTTCCGTTACATCCCAATCGTTAAAAGAGCGACAAGAAAGAAGACGAGATATATTTTGTGTTATTAATTTATTTTTGGAGTGGGCAATTGTTCCGAGGAAAAATAGAAGAAAAGTTCTCAGCCATTCAAAGGTAAAACTTTATAATCAGTTTTTCGCGCGCTGTTTTAATTATTGATTAAAAGAAAATTAAACATGTTTGTTGTTGTTGCAATAGAGAATACTTCCATACGGTTACAGAAATATTTCCAAAAATTTATAAAAATTCATAACGGGTTTAAATGCAGAATGCTTTCTTAACTAAATTCTTATTTTACAGATTATTTTAATGACTTCCGCATATTTCAGTATAAAGTTATTAACCTGCAATATGAAAAGAATTGAAGACCTATAAATACCAACTGTCGTCCGTCAATTCTTTCTTATTATCCAGAACGGAGTTAGATGAAAGACGAGACCAGATATGGAATCTATAGAGGCAGGAGGATGCCTCTAAGGATTACCTGTACATAAAATTCCGCTGCAAAGCGGAAGTCACGCTATTTCGATTGAAAAGTTTTCTTCCGAAAGCAGTTATAGATGATCTGCACGACTCTATTGTTAAAAGAAAAGAATCACGTACGGGGGCAAGACTCTGCTAATTGCAGGTGAGCATGTATTTTAAATGAAATAAATTATTAATATGATTATAAACTGCAGCTCGGCATTGTGACCGTGTCACAATAAATCACCTTTCATTATTAATAATTTTAAATATACAGGTAACCCCCGTATAACACGGGAGTTACGTTCCAAAAAAATTGCCGTGTTATGCGAATCCGTGTTATACGAAACACAGAACTAGTGCAAAAAGGGGGGTTAGGTTCCAAAAATAAAAAAAACATGCTGTTAAATCCTAATTTAAATCGGATTTATTATTCATTTCTTTCATAGGTAAAATACTTATTATTTAAGTAAATATTTTACCACAGGATTATTCATCCTGTATGATGATCTCAACATAAGCATCATCAGTTGGTAACAGTTTTTGGGTGCGTTCGTTAATAGTGGTCGCTCTGCAACGGGAGTGCGCTGCTATTTTTAGGCATTTAGTAATGATGGTGGAAGAAAGATGGCGGCTCCCGCACTATCAATAGTATCGTGATGGAGAAATCTATAATTATAAAATGAGCTTTTAGAGGCAAAAGAAGAGTCCCAGTTGTAAAATTTAACCATTAAATGGATTATTTATTGAAAGATCATTCAAAGTAGCCACGAAAACAATTACAATGCTCGCGCGGAGTTACGCGGAGGTATAAAACAACGCACCCTTTATTACATTTCATGTTGTACGAGGGTTTTACCCAATTCCCGAATCGTGTTAGAGTGAACCCGTGCTATAGAAGTGCCGTGTTATACGGGGGTTACCTGTAGTTTAAAAGTATTCATCCCTTTTCAATAAAATGCGAATAAAATATTATTTTTCGAATGTTAATTGTAAATTTCGAAAAAATACAGAGATGAAAACCATTGGTATTTAAATATTAGATGGTGTCATTTATTTTTTCCACAAAATTGACAGTTCATTTACAGAGAAAATAAACGAATGCCCATTGAGATACAGAAGCGGTAAACTGTATTTTCATTTTCATTATTGAATAGATTAGACTCATCAGGAAAGAAGTTAAAATGTTTCAGAAAGAATCGTGTGTATTTGTATTTCTGCCGTCGTCTTCGCTTTCGTCAGAAATGAAAAGAGAACAGGAAACGACAATAATTAGCTTTAACACCCAACATTTCGCTCGTTACTACTGACGTCGAGGATAGGTTTATTTTACACTCTGTTGATACCTCTCAATTTTTTTGCGTACGTGAAGACAGAGTGATGATTCTGTTGTTCTTTTTTCGGTACGACAAAGTGAAAGGAATCGTATGAATTCTCATGCAGAAATAGGTTAGTCTTTTATCGTTCCTTTGATCATCGTCACTTTTATTGCAACATTCAAGAAATTAAAGTAATTATTTATAGTGCTGATCTGAAGGAAATCTCGTTGACGATTACATTAGAAAGAAAAAAAAAGGAAGAAGATTTCCTAAGAAGATGAAGACGATTTCTCAGGTAACATTTCTTGATATATCGAATGGCCCTAGAGTTTGGTTTGTGGAATGTGCTAACAAGTATTGGAAGTGCTTTACGTTTTTCTGTTGAATGAAGTTTCTAGACTTATTGTAAACAAACGTAAGTATATCTTTCATTTTTTCTTACGCATTGTTAAAACCACAATAATTAGAAAAAGGTTAGAAATAGTTGTTTTTAAAATTTCAAATTCTTCAATCAAAGCTGTGAAATATGAAAATAAAAGGAAAGAATCTTCGTAAAATACAGTATTATCTGATCTACTTCTTTCTAAACATAGCTGATAAATCTATTTTAAATATCCTATTAATAATTAATTAATGCATTTTACATGTATACGTATTCCTATTTTAAAAAGAATTAACTTAAAATGGTTTGTTTTTCAGATCTTGAACCCAGCTTTAATTTTGCGGCGTTACGTGTCTATGAAAGAATTTCTAAAATTATTTAATTTGTTTTATAAAATAATGTATGACATCATTATCGTATCTGATTTCATTCAAAAGTTTATTTTCAGATTCACTATCAACTAATAAAGAGAAGAGAACAAATGGAGAATTGTCTCCAGGAAAAAGGATGAGTCCAGGAATGCGTTTAACTTCTGTTTACAAAAGACTAAATTGAAGACAGTGATAAGAAATTATACAAGAATATGAAAAAAAGGAAAAACATGTATCAAGCAATTGAAGAGAAAATGAAATGAAGATATTTTAAATAATTTTCAAATATGTTATATTTTAAAATACACTTTATATAAATTGTTTTGAGATAAATGTATAAATTACATTGATTTGTGATAGTATGTTTATACTGCTTGGAGATATTCGCAAATACTGGTGTAAGCAGTTTGTATGATGTATTGTTTGATGTTGTGTGGTCCAGTTAGTTTAAAGAAACTTGTTAGAAAAAAGAATTTTCCTTTTATCTGCACACACACTTTAACAATCTTTTAAAATCAGCAATTAAATTTAGATATTTACATATTCGACTAGCGATAAATTGAAAGTTTTGGTTTTAATGCTCTTATCATATTTTATAGGTTTAAACTATCAGAAGTCAAGAAATGGGAAGTATCAATGTGGCAGTTGCGAGAAAGAATTCCTTTCGAAGAAAGGATTAAAATATCATCGAAGGATTCACACTGGAGAGAAACTCTTTGTCTGTAATCATTGCAAACAACGTTTTACACAAAAAGGAAATCTGACTGTACATCTCCGAACTCACACGGGAGAGAAGCCATTCTCTTGCGACTTTTGCAATCGAAGTTTTTCGCAAAAACATCATCTGACAGAACATTTTCGTCTTCACAGCGGAGAGAAACCATTCTCGTGCAATCATTGCTCACAAAAATTTCATTTAAAATTTGCTTTGAAGTATCATATTATTAAACATCATAATATTAAAGAATAATGAATTTTATGGAAATGATTTTAGTACATTTCTTCGAAAAATATGTAATACTCGTATTTTAGATCTTATTGAACATGAAACACAAAATTTATAAAACGTTTACAATCGTTCTATAATCGAACCAATATGTAATAACAAATTCGAATTTAAAATGGTTCGAACATTTTTAAAATCGAAATAGATAAAAATATTTATAACAATGTCTGAAATGTTATTAATTTAATACACTTAAGTACTCAATGAAGACTATATCCTCCCCCTCTTCCCACGCGGGGAAATTTTGAAAAATCCCTTCTTAGTGTCCGTTTCCATGACGTATTCTAACTGTCTACCAAATTTCACCTTTTTAGGTTAAGTGGTTTTCTCTGGGCGATGATGAATCAGTGAGTCATTCATTCAGTAAGTCAGGACAAGCAATTTTATATATTTAGATTAATGTATTTTTTCGTACATAATTGATTTCCGAAATATCGATTTTCCGAACAACCGCAGTCCCCAATTGACTCGGATAATCGACGCTCTACTGTAATTTAATATAAATAAAATGTTTTTGATAAATAAACGATTAGTAAATATTTTATTATTATGATAATAACCGTCGCCAGGTGGAAAAATTAACCACCGGCACTGTATATTACATTCCAAAATATTTATTTATAGTAAATTTATCGTGTCTATTTGTTTTTCCGCCGCCGTCTTCGGTTCTGTCTGAACTAAAAATAGAAGTGGAAACGACAATAAATAGCTTTAACACGCAACACTTCGCTCGTTACTACTGACGTCTTTTCGTTGTCGTTCGTGTCGAGAAACGTCGAGGATAGTTTTATTTTACACTCTGTTGATACCTCACAATTCTTCGCGTATGTGAAGACAGAGTGACGATTCTATTGTACTTTCTTCCCTACGACGAAGTGAACGGAAGTTCGTGGAATTCTCGTGCAGAAATGGGTCAGTTCTTTTTATCATTCCTTTGATCGTCGTCACTTATTTCTACATTCAAGAAAGTAAAGTAATCTTTTATAGTGCTGATCTGAAGAAAATCTCGTTGACGATTACGTTAGAAAAAAAAATTTCCCAAGTAGCTGAAGACGATTTCTCAGGTAATATTTATTGATATATCGAATAGCCTTAGAGTTCGGTTTGTGGAGTGTGCTAACGAGTATTGAGAGTGTTTTACGTTTTTTTGTTGTATAAAGTTTTTTGGCTTAATGTAGACAAACCTAAGTAAATCTTTTATTTTTTTCTCACGCGTTCTCAAAACCAGAATTTGAAAAAAGGTTAGAAGTGGTTGTTTTTAAAATTTCAAATTCTTCAATCAAAGCTGTGAAATCTATATCTATATGTGTATATATAAAAATGGACGCGTGTCCTTATATTTTACTTTTTCGCCAAAACTACACATCGCACATGAATGGTGTTTGTATGTAGTAGTAGCCTTAAGTCTGCATTCGTGCACTATGGTGGATGTGTCTCGATAGCTATAAGGGTGCGGGAGATATGGGGCTGAAAGTGATTTTGTATTTCGAATTTTATGTTCGAATTCGAACAATATTCGAATTAAATTTCGAAAATTAGTTCGATTATAGAACGATTGTAAACGTTCCAGAAACGTTAAAAATAGTTCGTTTGACTGGACGTAAACAGGAGACGTTCAGAAATAGAATCGGGACCAGGTTTCTAATTAGTCTGGAAACGTGGGACCTAATTCTTGCATTCTGTGAAAACCGGTAAGATTGGCTATAACGGAGTTATCTTCATCTTCACTATCGTTACTTTTTACCCACAAATAAAAACTTAGCGAAGCGGGTCCTTGCAGCTAGTATAAAAATAAAAGTAAAGAATCTTCGTAAGACACAGTATTATCTGATCTACTTGTTTCCGAACATAGCGGATAAAACTATTTTAAATATCCTATTAATAATTAATTAATGCATTTCACACGTATACGTATTCCTGTTTAAGAAAATAAACTTAAAATCCTTTATTTTCCAGATCTTGAATCCACACAGCTTTAATTTTGTGGCGTGACGTGTCCAAGAAAGAATTTCTAAAATTATTTAACCTGTTTTATAAAATAATGTATGACGTCATTCTCGTATCTGATTTCATTCAAAACTTTATTTTTAGATTTACTATCAATTAATAGAAAGAAGATTAACAAATAAAAAATTGTTTCCAGGAAAAAGGATGAGTCGAGGAATGCGTTCAACTTCTGTTTACAAAAGACTAAATTGAAGAGTGTGATAAGAAATTATACAAGAATATGAAAAAAGGAAGAATATATGTCAAGCAAATGAAGAGAAAATGAAATGAAGATATTTTAAATAATTTCCAAATATGTTATTTGTTAAAATACACTTCGTATAAATTGTTTTGAGATAAATGTATAAATTACTTTAATTTGTGGTAGTATGTTTATACTGTTTGGAAATATTCACAAATACTAATGTAAGCAGTTTATGTATGATCTATTGTTTGATGTGATGTGGTCCAGATAGTTGCAAGGTTTAAACGTTAGTTTAAAAAAACTTGTTAGAAAAAAAAAGATTTCCTTTTATCTGCGCACACACTTTAACAATCCTTTAAAATCAGCGATTAATTTTATATATTTACATATTCGATTAGCAATAAATTGAAGGGTTTTAATGCTCTTATCATATTTTACAGGTTTAAACAATCAGAAGTCAAGAAATGGGAAGTATCGATGTGGCAGTTGCGAGAAAGAATTCGTTTCGGAAAAGGGGTTAAAATGTCATCGAAGAATTCATACTGGAGAAGGGCTCTTGTCTTGCAAATACTGCAATCGTCAGTTCACCCAAACGTGTCATCTAGTTGACCACGTCAAGACTCACACCAGAGACAAACTCTTTGTTTGTGATCATTGCAAACAACGCTTTACACAAAAATCAAATCTGATTGCACATCTCCGAACTCACACAGGGGAGAAGCCATTCTCGTGTAATCATTGCTCACAAAAATTTCGTTTTAAATCTTCTTTAAAGTATCATATTAATAAATATCATAATAGTAATGAATAATGACTTTTACGGAAATGATTTTAGTACATTTCTTCGAAAAATATGTAATACTCGTATTTTATTGAACATGAAACAAGAACTTTCTAAAGTTCTATTTGTTTTGTAACTTTTATTTTGTGCATAAAACAATTGATTTTATCTACCGAGAAAACGATAGTTTTTAGAATAAATACAAATTTCATTGATTAAAAGGTAATATAGTTATTGTATTTTTATTTGTTTAAGTACGTGTCATTTATTTAAGGCGATAACATTTCTATTATGTACGAAGAATTCGTTTATTGTTAGAATAAGTGTTTGAATTTCAGTGAACTGAATTAGAAAAACTGGTGAAAAAGAGTACATTTTCTAACAGTTTTAATAAAGTTATGAATTGCATAATTGCACATAAACTGGAAAAAGTTTTTAAAAGCCTTATTTAACGTTGAAAATTTTCTTTAGTTAATATCTTTACTCATTAATGAATCTATAATTAAAGTTCGTTTCACAGCTTAGACAAAATCACGGCTTTTATTTAATTTCATTTATTGTATATACTGGATCTTATAATCAAAAAAGTTCTACCGTCAAAAGTGAGGGTACCATGATAGAAGTTTCAACCTTCTAGATAAAAAAACGAAAATTGAAAACGATATAAAAAACTAAAATAATTACACAATAAAAAAATTTAAACTGTACTGTAATTACATAACTAAAATACATTATATTTTTCTAGTATTAGATTAACTTTTTATTTTAATATATTTTGATCTAATACCAGAAAAAATAATTTATTTAAACGATATATATATCACAGGTCTGACAAAAAACTTAATTTAATGCAAGAAAAAGAAATAGTGTATTCATTTAATTGTAATTGTGATCTAGCTGAAACTTACATAGGTGAAACGAAACGGACATTAGTAACAAAAATAAAATAACACATACGCGCTATAAAAGGTAATTATGCAAATTATTCTGTTGCAGAACACTGTAATAATGATGGGTGCTAAATAAATATAGCTTAAATACAATAGAAATTAAAAAGAAAGGGTCTAATAATTACTAAAAACAATTATATTAACATATAAACACAAAGAAACAGAATAAATAACGTTTGTAGAGAAATATTTCCTTTTGACTGTACATACATTGATGATACTTAGTTTATTTTTTGTCCCTTCACACGCTACACGAGGCATTACAATTCTCTCGGTTGAGTCTTAAGAATAACAATTAAGGAAGAATAATTCATCAATCCTGGGACACTATATTCGATGACGTTTACAAAAAGCAAAGAGTATGAGTGGTTGAAAAACTCACCTTATCTTGAGGTAGTTAGCTAGTGGTGAATAGAACCTCGATGTAAGTTAAAAATTATTGGTTGGTATTGTAAGTTTTTTTAAAAAATTAATGGTTTATTTTATTTTGTTTATACAAAAAAATAAAATCATGTAAATTTGTAATTAATATTTTTGGAAATATAATCCAATTGTAAACAGTATTAGAAAAGGTTTTTATTGTAAGTTTTTTAAAGAAGTATTTTATTATCGGGAATTTATTATATACTTCATACACAATATCTTCTTTATTTAATTATTGTTTTTTAGTGGTTTGTAGTAATAATGCTGATGAGGGGCATGTTGGTCCGAAACACGTGTAAGTGTACAGAAAAAAATTTCTACTACGGGTGATATAATAAAAAAATTGTTTTTCTGAACTAACTCTCATTATTGTGTCAAATTTTTAAACACAAGTATAAAGTCCTATTAATTTAAGAAATGATCTAAATATATAAAATTACTTGTCCTGACTGAGTCACTGACTGATTCATCATCGCCCAGAGCAAACCGCTTAACATATAAAGAGGTGAAATTTGGTACACAGTTAGNCTTTTTCTTTTCTTTAAGGTTAACTTTGAAATGATTTTCCGATTGTAGTACATACATTTGCTATTTGTGGTGAAAATTTGTTAGCAGTAGAACACTGATTCAAACACAGTGTAAATGTCTGTATAATATAAGTAGCTTTGTTTATATTTATAGACGTTTAAACTATAGCGTGTGTTACGCTATTGTTTAAACGTGCTTAAAATCGAAAAACACTGTTTTTGTTTTTTATCGAAGCTTTGCCGACGATTGACATCACACCATCGTTGTTCTATAAGCTTGAATTTAATGGAAGTGGAAGGACGAGTCTTGGGATGGTGATGACACAGATGAAAGATAGATATAATCATGGCAGAGAAATGATTTATTTTTTATAGAAGTAAACCCTTTTCCTCTAAACTTCTTATGCTTGACAGCTATTTTTAAAGCTCAATTTAAACTTTTAAGGTGTGTTATTTTTTTAATTATTTATAATTATCCATTCTGCAAAAGAAAGAAACGGGTATTNTTTGCGGCGTTACGTGTCTATGAAAGAATTTCTAAAATTATTTAATTTGTTTTATAAAATAATGTATGACATCATTATCGTATCTGATTTCATTCAAAAGTTTATTTTCAGATTCACTATCAACTAATAAAGAGAAGAGAACAAATGGAGAATTGTCTCCAGGAAAAAGGATGAGTCCAGGAATGCGTTTAACTTCTGTTTACAAAAGACTAAATTGAAGACAGTGATAAGAAATTATACAAGAATATGAAAAAAAGGAAAAACATGTATCAAGCAATTGAAGAGAAAATGAAATGAAGATATTTTAAATAATTTTCAAATATGTTATATTTTAAAATACACTTTATATAAATTGTTTTGAGATAAATGTATAAATTACATTGATTTGTGATAGTATGTTTATACTGCTTGGAGATATTCGCAAATACTGGTGTAAGCAGTTTGTATGATGTATTGTGTGATGTTGTGTGGTCCAGTTAGTTTAAAGAAACTTGTTAGAAAAAAGAATTTTCCTTTTATCTGCACACACACTTTAACAATCTTTTAAAATCAGCAATTAAATTTAGATATTTACATATTCGACTAGCGATAAATTGAAAGTTTTGGTTTTAATGCTCTTATCATATTTTATAGGTTTAAACTATCAGAAGTCAAGAAATGGGAAGTATCAATGTGGCAGTTGCGAGAAAGAATTCCTTTCGAAGAAAGGATTAAAATATCATCGAAGGATTCACACTGGAGAGAAACTCTTTGTCTGTAATCATTGCAAACAACGTTTTACACAAAAAGGAAATCTGACTGTACATCTCCGAACTCACACGGGAGAGAAGCCATTCTCTTGCGACTTTTGCAATCGAAGTTTTTCGCAAAAACATCATCTGACAGAACATTTTCGTCTTCACAGCGGAGAGAAACCATTCTCGTGCAATCATTGCTCACAAAAATTTCATTTAAAATTTGCTTTGAAGTATCATATTATTAAACATCATAATATTAAAGAATAATGAATTTTATGGAAATGATTTTAGTACATTTCTTCGAAAAATATGTAATACTCGTATTTTAGATCTTATTGAACATGAAACACAAAATTTATAAAACGTTTACAATCGTTCTATAATCGAACCAATATGTAATAACAAATTCGAATTTAAAATGGTTCGAACATTTTTAAAATCGAAATAGATAAAAATATTTATAACAATGTCTGAAATGTTATTAATTTAATACACTTAAGTACTCAATGAAGACTATATCCTCCCCCTCTTCCCACGCGGGGAAATTTTGAAAAATCCCTTCTTAGTGTCCATTTCCATGACGTATTCTAACTGTCTACCAAATTTCACCTTTTTAGGTTAAGCGGTTTTCTCTGGGCGATGATGAATCAGTGAGTCATTCATTCAGTAAGTCAGGACAAGCAATTTTATATATTTAGATTAATGTATTTTTTCGTACATAATTGATTTCCGAAATATCGATTTTCCGAACAACCGCAGTCCCCAATTGACTCGGATAATCGACGCTCTACTGTAATTTAATATAAATAAAATGTTTTTGATAAATAAACGATTAGTAAATATTTTATAATTATGATAATAACCGTCGCCAGGTCGAAAAATTAACCACCGGCACTGTATATTACATTCCAAAATATTTATTTATAGTAAATTTATCGTGTCTATTTGTTTTTCCGCCGCCGTCTTCGGTTCTGTCTGAACTAAAAATAGAAGTGGAAACGACAATAAATAGCTTTAACACGCAACACTTCGCTCGTTACTACTGACGTCTTTTCGTTGTCGTTCGTGTCGAGAAACGTCGAGGATAGTTTTATTTTACACTCTGTTGATACCTCACAATTCTTCGCGTATGTGAAGACAGAGTGACGATTCTATTGTACTTTCTTCCCTACGACGAAGTGAACGGAAGTTCGTGGAATTCTCGTGCAGAAATGGGTCAGTTCTTTTTATCATTCCTTTGATCGTCGTCACTTATTTCTACATTCAAGAAAGTAAAGTAATCTTTTATAGTGCTGATCTGAAGAAAATCTCGTTGACGATTACGTTAGAAAAAAAAATTTCCCAAGTAGCTGAAGACGATTTCTCAGGTAATATTTATTGATATATCGAATAGCCTTAGAGTTCGGTTTGTGGAGTGTGCTAACGAGTATTGAGAGTGTTTTACGTTTTTTTGTTGTATAAAGTTTTTTGGCTTAATGTAGACAAACCTAAGTAAATCTTTTATTTTTTTCTCACGCGTTCTCAAAACCAGAATTTGAAAAAAGGTTAGAAGTGGTTGTTTTTAAAATTTCAAATTCTTCAATCAAAGCTGTGAAATCTATATCTATATGTGTATATATAAAAATGGACGCGTGTCCTTATATTTTACTTTTTCGCCAAAACTACACATCGCACATGAATGGTGTTTGTATGTAGTAGTAGCCTTAAGTCTGCATTCGTGCACTATGGTGGATGTGTCTCGATAGCTATAAGGGTGCGGGAGATATGGGGCTGAAAGTGATTTTGTATTTCGAATTTTATGTTCGAATTCGAACAATATTCGAATTAAATTTCGAAAATTAGTTCGATTATAGAACGATTGTAAACGTTCCAGAAACGTTAAAAATAGTTCGTTTGACTGGACGTAAACAGGAGACGTTCAGAAATAGAATCGGGACCAGGTTTCTAATTAGTCTGGAAACGTGGGACCTAATTCTTGCATTCTGTGAAAACCGGTAAGATTGGCTATAACGGAGTTATCTTCATCTTCACTATCGTTACTTTTTACCCACAAATAAAAACTTAGCGAAGCGGGTCCTTGCAGCTAGTATAAAAATAAAAGTAAAGAATCTTCGTAAGACACAGTATTATCTGATCTACTTGTTTCCGAACATAGCGGATAAAACTATTTTAAATATCCTATTAATAATTAATTAATGCATTTCACACGTATACGTATTCCTGTTTAAGAAAATAAACTTAAAATCCTTTATTTTCCAGATCTTGAATCCACACAGCTTTAATTTTGTGGCGTGACGTGTCCAAGAAAGAATTTCTAAAATTATTTAACCTGTTTTATAAAATAATGTATGACGTCATTCTCGTATCTGATTTCATTCAAAACTTTATTTTTAGATTTACTATCAATTAATAGAAAGAAGATTAACAAATAAAAAATTGTTTCCAGGAAAAAGGATGAGTCGAGGAATGCGTTCAACTTCTGTTTACAAAAGACTAAATTGAAGAGTGTGATAAGAAATTATACAAGAATATGAAAAAAGGAAGAATATATGTCAAGCAAACGAAGAGAAAATGAAATGAAGATATTTTAAATAATTTCCAAATATGTTATTTGTTAAAATACACTTCGTATAAATTGTTTTGAGATAAATGTATAAATTACTTTAATTTGTGGTAGTATGTTTATACTGTTTGGAAATATTCACAAATACTAATGTAAGCAGTTTATGTATGATCTATTGTTTGATGTGATGTGGTCCAGATAGTTGCAAGGTTTAAACGTTAGTTTAAAAAAACTTGTTAGAAAAAAAAAGATTTCCTTTTATCTGCGCACACACTTTAACAATCCTTTAAAATCAGCGATTAATTTTATATATTTACATATTCGATTAGCAATAAATTGAAGGGTTTTAATGCTCTTATCATATTTTACAGGTTTAAACAATCAGAAGTCAAGAAATGGGAAGTATCGATGTGGCAGTTGCGAGAAAGAATTCGTTTCGGAAAAGGGGTTAAAATGTCATCGAAGAATTCATACTGGAGAAGGGCTCTTGTCTTGCAAATACTGCAATCGTCAGTTCACCCAAACGTGTCATCTAGTTGACCACGTCAAGACTCACACCAGAGACAAACTCTTTGTTTGTGATCATTGCAAACAACGCTTTACACAAAAATCAAATCTGATTGCACATCTCCGAACTCACACAGGGGAGAAGCCATTCTCGTGTAATCATTGCTCACAAAAATTTCGTTTTAAATCTTCTTTAAAGTATCATATTAATAAATATCATAATAGTAATGAATAATGACTTTTACGGAAATGATTTTAGTACATTTCTTCGAAAAATATGTAATACTCGTATTTTATTGAACATGAAACAAGAACTTTCTAAAGTTCTATTTGTTTTGTAACTTTTATTTTGTGCATAAAACAATTGATTTTATCTACCGAGAAAACGATAGTTTTTAGAATAAATACAAATTTCATTGATTAAAAGGTAATATAGTTATTGTATTTTTATTTGTTTAAGTACGTGTCATTTATTTAAGGCGATAACATTTCTATTATGTACGAAGAATTCGTTTATTGTTAGAATAAGTGTTTGAATTTCAGTGAACTGAATTAGAAAAACTGGTGAAAAAGAGTACATTTTCTAACAGTTTTAATAAAGTTATGAATTGCATAATTGCACATAAACTGGAAAAAGTTTTTAAAAGCCTTATTTAACGTTGAAAATTTTCTTTAGTTAATATCTTTACTCATTAATGAATCTATAATTAAAGTTCGTTTCACAGCTTAGACAAAATCACGGCTTTTATTTAATTTCATTTATTGTATATACTGGATCTTATAATCAAAAAAGTTCTACCGTCAAAAGTGAGGGTACCATGATAGAAGTTTCAACCTTCTAGATAAAAAAACGAAAATTGAAAACGATATAAAAAACTAAAATAATTACACAATAAAAAAATTTAAACTGTACTGTAATTACATAACTAAAATACATTATATTTTTCTAGTATTAGATTAACTTTTTATTTTAATATATTTTGATCTAATACCAGAAAAAATAATTTATTTAAACGATATATATATCACAGGTCTGACAAAAAACTTAATTTAATGCAAGAAAAAGAAATAGTGTATTCATTTAATTGTAATTGTGATCTAGCTGAAACTTACATAGGTGAAACGAAACGGACATTAGTAACAAAAATAAAATAACACATACGCGCTATAAAAGGTAATTATGCAAATTATTCTGTTGCAGAACACTGTAATAATGATGGGTGCTAAATAAATATAGCTTAAATACAATAGAAATTAAAAAGAAAGGGTCTAATAATTACTAAAAACAATTATATTAACATATAAACACAAAGAAACAGAATAAATAACGTTTGTAGAGAAATATTTCCTTTTGACTGTACATACATTGATGATACTTAGTTTATTTTTTGTCCCTTCACACGCTACACGAGGCATTACAATTCTCTCGGTTGAGTCTTAAGAATAACAATTAAGGAAGAATAATTCATCAATCCTGGGACACTATATTCGATGACGTTTACAAAAAGCAAAGAGTATGAGTGGTTGAAAAACTCACCTTATCTTGAGGTAGTTAGCTAGTGGTGAATAGAACCTCGATGTAAGTTAAAAATTATTGGTTGGTATTGTAAGTTTTTTTTAAAAAATTAATGGTTTATTTTATTTTGTTTATACAAAAAAATAAAATCATGTAAATTTGTAATTAATATTTTTGGAAATATAATCCAATTGTAAACAGTATTAGAAAAGGTTTTTATTGTAAGTTTTTTAAAGAAGTATTTTATTATCGGGAATTTATTATATACTTCATACACAATATCTTCTTTATTTAATTATTGTTTTTTAGTGGTTTGTAGTAATAATGCTGATGAGGGGCATGTTGGTCCGAAACACGTGTAAGTGTACAGAAAAAAATTTCTACTACGGGTGATATAATAAAAAAATTGTTTTTCTGAACTAACTCTCATTATTGTGTCAAATTTTTAAACACAAGTATAAAGTCCTATTAATTTAAGAAATGATCTAAATATATAAAATTACTTGTCCTGACTGAGTCACTGACTGATTCATCATCGCCCAGAGCAAACCGCTTAACATATAAAGAGGTGAAATTTGGTACACAGTTAGGGTGCGACTATGCAGACGCGAATTTAGAGCGAGCGAGAGGTTGCGAGCGATTTAGTTTTCGCAAAGGAAAACCATGCACAAACGAGAAGCGAGAAATAACGCTGGCGAGAGCGAATTTCTGGTTCTCGCACATATCTGACAGGTTTTGATATTTATCGCGTCTCGTCTCTTCTCGCCACATATTCTCGCTCACTCGGAAAATTCGCTCGCTCGCGTCTGCATAGTCGCACCCTTAGT